ACTTGAGAAATGTATGTCTGTGACTGTGTCAGATCCCTGGAACTGGAATTGTAGAAAGGTGTGAGATGTTCCACATGTGGGGGATTGAACCCCAGTCCTCTAGAGCAGCCAGTGCTCTGAGCCACTGAGCCATCTCTCCAGCCACTTAGTAAGAAACAAAATGGAAATAAATTTTCTAATCATTTCTTAATATACTTTTAATGCTGTGTGCGAGCGTGTGTGTGTGTGTGTGTGTGTGTGTGTGTGTGTATGCACGCATGTGCTCAAATGGGATCTTTCCAAAGGTAGGTCTGGTGAGAAAAGGGAACACAGGCATTTTTACTGGAATTTTTTAAGACTTGTAGAAGAATGTCAAGAAAACAGAGTCTCTTACACATAGGATCTCGGGAGAATCCAGTCATGTGGGGATTGATGTAGAATCCAGAAACAGCGCAGGGGAAGAATTGGCTGGTTCTGACAACTGATGGAAAGGGGCTCAAATGTCTAGAAGGACCTGGGCTTTTAATATAATTTTGTAAAGTTTTTGATGTTTAAGATAGAAAATCCTCAATGAGTTATTCTTCTGGGCCATATTTCTCTTTCCCTACAAGAATATCCCACTATCTTGAGAAGTCTAACTAGTTAATTCTCTGCAGTACCTTCATTCTGAAGCATTCCTAAATAAAAAGAACACAGTGTGGACTTCTGTATATAAGCAACAGAAACAAATATTGGAAATTCTCCCTTCAGCTTTATTACTTGAACATAATATATAACTCAAAACTGATTGCTTTATATTTAATATTTCTAGGAAATAATAACAATAGATATTCAAATATGGGTCTCATGCCTAAGAGAAGAATACACACATCTGCAGTGTAGAATCACCGACCCCTCCTATCTCTCCCATTCTAGATGACATCTAAACAAAACAGCAAACATTCTTCTGAGTTCCAAGTTTTTCCTTGAAGACTTTTTTACTTTGTTTTTGTTTGCTTATTATGTTTAGTAAAACACTAGACTTTCCTTTCTACACATTTTAAAGATGTTCCCTCTTTTGCTTGTAGTAAAGGCCTGATTACATATGGAATCACTAATAACCTTTATATCCCCATGGTCCCTGGATTTCAGAGAACTCTCATCAGAAGTAGTCTCAGTCACTATTTCTAATACAACAATTATTGCCCTATGCTTATTTTCCCTTGTATAGTTTATACTATCCTGGACCTGATTTTCTTATTTGTAATGATTATGTCCATGTTCAGTTGCCTGACTTTTCTTTAATACCTGATAATAGTTATAGTTGTTAGGTTTTGGATCTCATGAATGGCAAATTGAAGCTAGACCTGTTTGGTAGATCTCACCAGACAAGTGAAACCAGTCATCAAAAATCAGGAAAACAATTAGAATTTTTTTTTGATGAAAAGAAGTTTTTGAGTGGGAATGATATTAAGTGTACACAGATTGATAAAGTACTTTGTAGATTAGAGTGGACACTGAAATAATTGTGAACATAATTGCTATTATGAACTTTGTCTTAAAATTACAAAAGTGTTTTAAAAAGTGAATCTATTTTTGAATATTACTTACATAAGTCAAGTAAATTAGATATCTGAATGGAGATGGGATATCTCTACTTCTCCTTGAAAATGGAAAATAGATGATTTTCTAGTTCTTGTGGTTCTATCTTCAAAAACAGTAGTGTGTCATTGTGTGAGGACAGGCATTAGTCACATGTTCCAGGACTTGACAATGAATGCTGGGGAAGGGCAGATGAGGCTTGTGATGATTTATTATGAGTGACTTAAGTGCCACCAAGGGAAAATATATTCAAGTAGTGCTTCCAGGATGCTGCAGCATTAAGTCCCTCTGAAGACAGATGATATAGATGGTATAGATGGGTTGATAATAGATGATAAGTAGATGTAGTGATGGCCTCAAATATACATAAATAGAACTGAGTAACAATGCAGGTTGACAGAGTAACCTGGACAATCTGCAACTAGGACTTGACTGCTCCAATATACTCTGCTCCATTGTCATCATTATAGTTTAATAATACTATTTTTACATCTGATTTATTTTCTTCAAAACTAAACAGTTTAACTATGTGTAGAAAGAGAAGCTTCTCTTCAAAGATATATGTCTTGTAGTATTGTTCCATGAAAACAAAATTACCAGCCTGTCAGTCAATGTGGTAAACATGACACACTGAAAGCAAAAAACTAGATGGGACACTGTTTAGTTCGTGTGACGCCCATTTTCTCATGGCAGCTTTTCTCTACATGACACATATTGAACGATGACGCTGCTATTAAATCGATTCTGTGCGGACACTGAGAGTCATTTGAATGCAACTGAAGATTTTCAATATTGTTTCACAAGGGAATCAATAGAAATTTTTGTTTTGTATTGAGTGACTTAAGTGACTTATTTGTATTAAGTGACTCAAAGTTCATTTTTCTACCTGAACAGATCTGTAATATAAAATTATAGATATTAAACTACAAAGACTGTCTCAGTTTTGCTATTTAATTCATCCTAAGACTCACAAGCATTCACTAATTTGTGTACAAACATACATAAACATATGAATTCTTTATCATTCCAGAACTTTCTAGATAATTGGTGAAAATCTTTCCACAATGTTGTTTTCAAATTCCATGGTGTCGGACCATTCTACTTTTATAGATTAGCAAAATTTTTCACAAATGTAAACTAATAGTTCTATGTTATATCAAAGTTCATATAAAGCGAATATAGCTAAAAGAATTCCGAGCAAGGTTTTTGTTTTATGTATCATTTTCTAATAGAGAGTTTGAAACTGTCGAAGCAAGAAGACCTGTAAGAAATTCCCTCAAGTTGTTCTGTGAATTCAATAAAAAGACTAATGTGTTTGACCAGAAAGATATTTGCTCAAAACATGTTTGTTAAGAGTTTATCCCAAACTCACAGATAATATCTTCCAATTATACATGCAAAAATGCACACATACATTGAACGAGAGGCTGCTTTTTTTTTTTTTTTGCAGTGGTGCGTTGTGTAGTTATCCTGACTTCAAACAGGCATCCCTCTCACCTTGTTCTCCTGTGTGCAGGGTGATCAGCACAAACCCCATACACACTTAAATTATACCAACCCAAGATTTCACGTCTATATCTACAAGGTTTTTTTTAAAAATCTTGTATGAAAAGAATGTTTAGCCAACTATTATTGCAGAGACATTCAGGAGGGCTTGACTTCATCTATTTCTTCCTACAATGACAGGGAAGAAGATCTGGGTCTGAGGATAGCTCTGTGGATAAACTAAGCAAGCCAGGGAAACCAAGTTTGAATCTCCATCTTTATATAGGAAGCCACATGCTGTGGTGTGCATGGTAATTTCAGTATTCCTACCGTGCCAAGCTAGAAGCTAGAGGCCTGGGTGGTGGAGATGGAAAATTCAGCTTCAAGCTCATGCACTAAGTTTCTGAGGATATTGTGCATGTTACCAGATACACAGGACACCTTGTGTTCACAAGGCAGAAGACAAGAGGAACCAACTTCCAAAGTTGCCCTAAATTCTGCATGTATTCTGCGTCCCCTGTGTGACTGCATTAACATATATGCACACATACACAATATAATTTTTATTTTTTAAAAAAATTTTGATGTTAGATTTATTTACTCCTTGGTAGGCACTGCTCTCGTAGTTTGTTTTTTCACAATTCTGAGCTTGTTTTCTAAAACATAGAAACATATTTCAAATCAAATCACGTGTTTTACTCAACATAATGACTCATCAAATTGACTCTGTCTGCATTAACTGAGACCACTGGATTTTAAAATTCATTTCCATAAACCTTCTGAGAATCTCTGAGTTTTACTAATCAATTTATTTGTAACAAGACAGTAACTATGTCCCTTAGTTTTTTAGTTTGGGATAACTTTTTAACAGCTTTTAAAATGTAATATTTTATGAAGTAGTTTCCATTTTCTGTTTTCCAGTGCAAAATAAACACATTATAAAACCCACTATGTTAGCAAGAGAGAGAGAGAGAGAGAGAGAGAGAGAGAGAGAGAGAGAGAGAGAGAGAGAGAGAGACTGCTGAAATAGTTCTACAGTAGCTCCTTTTAAACTTTCCAATGATTAGAGAATCACTTAGCTCTTATCATTATGGTATTTTTATGTGTCTACTGGCTGGCCTGGAGTTTCCTATGTAGATCAGGCTGTTCTTGAATCTATGAGTGCTGGGATTACATCTGTGCCCACCACACTTGGCTCAAATATATCCTTTTCCAGTTACCTTTGGCATCCTGTCATTTCAATTCCTTCCCATCTTTTCCCTACCTTGATTGTACCTATTTTCAAAATGCACTGATCACTCTAGACTTCAGCTCCATTGTCTCGCAGAGTTTGAGAATTCTAGAGATGCTCAGGGTGAGAACTCCTCCAAAGCTTTAGCTTGTCTATATTGGCTAAAGTACGTGTTATCACAGCACATCTCTCAGAGCCTCTCCATCATGCTAAGCATCGGTAGGCACACACACATGCAAAGGATTGCTTTAGAATCTCATGAAATCTCTCAACCTCTTCTCCTGCAAAGCTTGGGCAAGTAGCTCTTATCTACAAGCATGGTACATGCTGTTCCACCTTGGAGTTCTGAACATGACATTTTACACAAAGCAGACAGGCTTACAGGTCTCGCTACATGCTTCCCTGTCATCATCACAGAACTTGGCTTCTGAACATTGGTGTCTTTGGGTCTCCCAGGCTTTTCTATTCCCCTTGCTCATCTCTGCGACTAGTTCTTTGTAGAAGCTGGGAAGCATTGAGGGAAGATGAACATCGCTTTCGAGGTTTCAGTCATTACTGTTCTTCTTAAAATTATTGATTTTTCTCTGAACGGAAACACTTTCACTAAAGCATTTGGCTTAGTGGAAATCAGGACAAGCCTCATACAAACTTAAACTTGTTGTATGTTTAATTCATATTAACGGAAGCAATTATCCTAAGGTTTCTTTCTTCTTCTGTTTTCCAGGTTTCTTGAGCACAGGGGATCAGGCTGCCAAAGGAAACTACGGGCTCCTTGACCTCATCCAGGCCCTAAGATGGACTAGCGAGAACATTGGGTTCTTTGGTGGTGACCCCTTGCGAATCACTGTGTTTGGATCAGGCGCTGGGGGCTCATGTGTCAACCTGCTGACTTTATCCCATTATTCTGAAGGTAACCGTTGGAGCAATTCAACCAAAGGTATTATGCAGGTTGCAAATTTTGACAATTTTGGTGTCTGCATGCCACCGCCATCAGAACTACATGATGCTCTGTAGATACTTCTCTGTTTCAACTGAGTGTTAGCTTGGGCTTAGTGACTGCTTAAAGCTGTGTTTTTAGCCTTTCTGTGCATGCTTACATTTCTGTCAGGCTCTTTCCTGTCTTCCATGGACCTAGGGAATGTGTTCTTCCAAGTCCACTTCATGATGCTTAGCATCGTAGGCATTTTCCTTTCTGTCAAAGGATGATCTGAGGGAAAGTCAGAGAAACGCTCAACACTCTGTCCTCTCCATTTATCCGTAATCAAAATCAAGTATTTCAAACATCGGTGCTTGCAGCTCTTGACTGGCATGGACCTAATGAGGCAGGCAAAAACTAGTTTGTCTGGAAATGTGGTTCTTCTTGTTGCCTAAGGAAAGAATAGATATTTGATTAGTTTGCATGCGTGATCCAAAATTGTCAAAGCATTGAGGTCACCAATAGAGCCTTTGACTACAAAGAAAAACACATCTGGTTTTGTAGTTTTTCTATTTTTCACTCAAGTTTGTTTTTTCCTCCCAGAGCCTGGCAAAGTGGCCTGGAGAACGAGCCTTCTTTAGTCCACAAAATGTGTTGATTTCCATTTTCTGGCTTTGAGCATTTTCTCTTAAGTGCCTGCCATCTTACCAGGCATTCAGTCGCTCATTACAGTCCCATTATTGACTGGATTACAATTGCATTATTAAATGTAAGAACAGAAGAGCTCACAAAGCAAATACTTTCTATCTATTATTTATACATAACAAAGGAGAAAGCAGAATAGTCATCACCACAGGCGTCTTTGATGTCTGCATCCTAGTTGTTATTGTGTGCGTGAGGAAAACAAGTTAGTCATCGTCAAGTGAAACTCATAGAGAATCTCAGATTCCGAAAATAAAATATTTGCTTTTGTAATTTGTAATTGTGTGCACATGTTTGAAGGGGTGGCATACACATGTAAATGCCACTGCCCACAGAGGCCACAGTCATCAGAGTCTCCAGCATTAAGAGCTACAAGGGTTTGCAAGCCATCAGAAAAGGGTGCTGGGCACTGAGCTCTGCCTCATTACGAGCATAGAGTATTACACCCTCCTGACCCTGAGCCATCTCTCCAGCCCCAAGAACAGTCAGTATGTGCTCAGAACACATTTTTAGTTGTCAAGGAAACATTTGAAATTCTAAGACAACAGCCAATCCTTAGTAATTATGTCACTTTGATATACCTTATTGCCATAGTTTAATTGGCATCTCATTTAACAATGGTAGGATTCTGGTTTCAAAGAGCATGATGAAAAAGATGTAACAGTTTTAATTGAGTAGATATGCTGCTCTATAATAAAATTGCTTATTTTGAAGTGATAAAGGTAGAGCTTTTAATTAAGCAGATTAGATTCTCCTATTCTTAGTATGGCTTGAGTGCTACTACTTAGCAAAGTTAACACTGCGAACTTACACAGAACTCTTGGGATCATGTGATCAAATGTGGGCCTAAAACCAGTGTCAGCCAGTATCACAAGAGCACTGGGTAAGGAGAAAAATCAATTTAGCAGGAGCTCATCACTTGGCGGACAGTGAGCAGTAGTAGCACATGGTTCAGCAAGCAGCTGAGAGTCACCTTCCACCACACTCCTTATGGAAATATATCTGTTTCTCATTGGAGACGGACTTGACTTTGATCTTTTTCAAAACCCCTCCCAAGAGCTGCCTGGTCCTACCAGGGCGGCCATGGAAAATTCCCTGAAATTCTCAGATCGTCTCTACCCACAAGGCAGACCTGGAATTTTGAGGCTATAAATCCAGTGAAGGATTCCGTACTTCTCAGGCCTCTGCTTCCAGGAGTCCCCAAAATCTTACATATACTAAACAAAGCCTTCTCACCAATGCTAAAACCAATAGCTATCCTGGAATCGTCTAGTCACCAAGTTTCAAGTGATACTTAACATAATGTGATAAATATATTTTTATTTGATATATTTGATATATTTAATGTCACTAAGTGCCTGAGGTAGAAAGAATACTATTTTTAAATGATCACCTTTATTTTAGTCATAAATATTTTATTAGTAAAATTCGTCTCTACTCAAATATCACCAGACCCTCCATTTGCCACGTTGCTGAAATATCTATAATTTGCTCTGGTAAACTTTGCCCTATCAAAGCAAAATGTATTCAAGAAACCAAAAATAATTCAGTATTGTTTGCCCTTTTGAGCATTTTAAAAAGTATCTAAAAATCACATTAATAACATATGCAAATACATAAGCATGTATGGAGAGAGCTCTGGAACCCATTCACAGAAGACTTCCACAGTTTTGTGTAAAGAACTATTTTCTCATTAACATGTATAAATAATTGAGCATGGTTTTTAAGTGAATGAAAACTTACCCAAACCTGGTAGTGAATAGTAAACATGAATTTTTAAATAAAATAGATAACCTATATATTTTTAAAAATTCTATTAGCAAATACTCCAGTGAATCAAGTGTATTTGTAAATTTTAATATCATATATCTCTTACTGTATGTGCAGCCATAATTTATAGCAATTAAATGAATCAAGTAAAAAACAAAACAAACAAACTGGTCCATGTATGTGCCATGTTTTCTAATAAATACAACAGCACACATTCAACAGTAGAAAAAGTTTAATTACCTCCTTCACACTATTCCTGCTGATGTTTTTCTTCTAACTTAGTGAAGGCACTGCTTAGGTTGTCTTCTTCAGAAATATTAATATTCATTGTATGGTATCTGTCAGGGAGATCTAGAAACAGTATGTCATAAGTTATATTCTGTTTTTGTGTGATTATCAGTGACATCCCCAGGGTATTGACAAGTCTCAAGTCTTAATTTCTGTGTGAGGCCCAAACAATAATTTTTTCATATGTAATCTAGTAAAACAAATATAACACAGTCATTTTGAGTGAAGCTGGATATGCAGCCAAATTAAAAGAAAAATTCCAAGCAGCCAATGCAGCCTGATGAGAAGGCAGAGGGTAGAATTGGATTTATCCTGTCAGTGTTGATGATTGCCTCTATTACTCATTAAGTAAAATATTTGAATCCTTGAAATACCCATATGTTCCAACTTCACCTCTTCTTCTTACTATGTCTTTGAGAATGCAAAAATTTTGAAATCCAAAGAAAATTCTGTTGGAATTATAAGACCTAGGCCCACTTCACTGGTACTTTATACCCTGGGGATAGCTTTATGTACCTTCTCTCAGACATGAAGTATCTGTGTTTTCAGTTGTACTTGGGCTATTATATACACGTCTTAAATATCAGATGTTACTTTGGGACCATAGCATTATTCAATAATCACCCAAAACTCTTGTTGATTTCCCCATAGGACTTTTTCAACGAGCAATAGCTCAGAGTGGAACAGCCCTTTCCAGCTGGGCTGTTAGTTTCCAGCCTGCAAAATATGCTCGAATGTTGGCCACAAAGGTTGGCTGTAATGTGTCAGATACGGTGGAGTTAGTGGAATGCCTACAGAAGAAGCCTTACAAAGAACTTGTCGATCAAGATGTGCAACCAGCCCGATACCACATAGCCTTTGGACCTGTGATCGATGGTGATGTAATTCCAGATGATCCTCAGATACTCATGGAACAAGGAGAGTTCCTCAACTATGACATCATGTTAGGAGTTAACCAAGGGGAAGGGTTGAAGTTTGTTGAAAATATAGTAGATAGTGATGATGGTATATCAGCCAGTGATTTTGACTTTGCTGTTTCTAATTTTGTTGATAATTTATACGGATATCCTGAAGGGAAAGATGTTTTGAGAGAAACCATAAAATTCATGTATACTGACTGGGCTGATCGTCATAACCCCGAAACCAGAAGGAAGACATTGTTGGCTTTGTTTACAGACCATCAGTGGGTAGCACCTGCTGTGGCTACAGCAGACCTTCACTCAAACTTTGGTTCACCTACGTACTTCTATGCCTTCTATCATCATTGCCAAACAGATCAAGTCCCAGCTTGGGCTGATGCAGCTCATGGAGACGAGGTTCCCTATGTGCTGGGGATCCCCATGGTTGGCCCTACAGAGTTATTTCCTTGCAATTTCTCCAAGAATGATGTGATGCTGAGTGCAGTAGTAATGACATATTGGACAAATTTTGCTAAAACGGGGTATGTATCAAGCAAATTATAACTTAGTTATAATTTTAATAGCAAATGCCCTCTGAAGTATTCTTGAACAATGCATTTATGTGCTTAAATTGTCTAAAATACTTTTCTTTGTATGTTTGTTTCTTTGTTCTATGATTCCAGGGATTGAAACCAGGACCTTTCACATGCTAGAACACATATTCCATCACCATAGAGGATTTAACCCCATATTAAAAATTACTTTTATATTGTTGTGTTTTGAAGTTATTTCCTTACTACTTTTGGATCTTAAAACTATGTTAAGAAAGACTTGCATTTTTATTTTATTGCTCTATGACAACATTACTTTGGCTTCTCACTTACATTGGTCATAGAATTACAGTTTTCAGCAGTGACAAACATTGTGTCCTAGTACTTACCAGTTCATAATAGTGTATGCATAATACTCTATGAATACATAATACTTTATTCATCTTGGATTCTATGGATCCCACTTAACATAGAAAGGAACCTGAGGTTCTGGCAGCTTAATATGCATGCTCCCTTGCAGGGTAGGTAAGCAGTGTGTTGACGTCCATGTCTTCATATGCCAGTCCCAAACCCTGAATTCACTCTTCGCTGCAATGCTGTTTTGATTGCACTATTTCTAAGAAAAGTCAAATATGCTATGTGAATGCCAAATCTTTTAAACTTTGCTTAATATGATTAGTGTGTGCATGTGTGTGTCTGTGCACATGTATGTGCTCATGGGAAGAAGTGCTGTGCTGTACTTTTGGATGTTAGAGGACAACTTTTGTGGGGTTTGTTCTTTCCTCCCTCCTGTCCACTGATTCCGGGGATTGAACTCACGCGGGCAGGTTTGTCCAGCAAACCCGTAGATGGCTGAGCATTTTCTTATGAACCTTTTGACTAGATGGTAATCTCGAAATAAACAGGGAAAACGAATGTGAAACTCTTTTACTTAAATTGCTAAATCGAGGCAAGTGGCAAGTTAATATTAGAACATAATCTAATATTTTGCTGAGTTAACTCTTCAATTAGACATTAAACATAATATTTTGACTAAGAAAAAGAGTAAAACATGTGTGTCCTCATAGATTCTTTCTTGTCTTTCCACCCCTTTTCCTAGTGATCCAAATCAACCAGTTCCTCAAGATACAAAATTCATTCATACCAAGCCCAACCGCTTTGAAGAAGTAGCATGGACCAGATATTCCCAGAAAGACCAACTTTATCTCCACATTGGCTTAAAACCAAGAGTCAAAGAGCATTACAGAGCCAATAAGGTAAATCTCTGGTTGGAGCTGGTACCTCATCTGCATAATCTCAACGATATTTCTCAGTATACCTCGACAACAACGAAAGTGCCATCCACAGACATCACTCTCAGACCGACCAGGAAAAATTCCACACCTGTCACGTCAGCCTTTCCTACTGCCAAACAGGAAGATCCCAAACAGCAACCGAGTCCCTTCTCAGTGGATCAGAGGGACTACTCCACAGAGCTGAGTGTCACCATCGCTGTGGGGGCTTCTCTGCTGTTTCTGAACATTTTGGCTTTCGCTGCCCTGTACTACAAGAAGGATAAGCGGAGACATGATGTCCACCGGAGGTGTAGCCCTCAGCGCACAGCCACCAACGATTTGACCCATGCTCCAGAAGAGGAAATCATGTCCCTCCAAATGAAGCACACTGACTTGGATCATGAGTGTGAGTCCATCCATCCACACGAGGTGGTTCTTCGGACCGCCTGCCCCCCAGATTATACCCTAGCAATGAGGAGGTCACCTGATGATGTTCCTTTAATGACACCAAACACTATCACAATGATTCCCAACACTATACCAGGGATTCAGCCCTTACACACATTCAACACATTTACCGGAGGAGGACAGAACAATACACTGCCCCATCCCCACCCCCACCCCCATTCACATTCAACAACCAGGGTATAGCCAGATGAGAGAGACAAACTGCTTTTTTTTTTTTCTGATGGAGTGCAGTAAAAGATTATTGAAGATTCCTTGGCTTTCAACTTGGAAGACTCTCACTATTTAATTAAGGAGGAATATTATGTGAATATACATATCAAGAACTTTGGGGGTTTTGAGAAATGAATTGTATATAGATATACACACAAATCAACTTTAAAAAAACAAATTTCAATTGCTTGAAGCAATTGTTCTGAATGATACTTTTTCATTCACATTCAAGAATTAATTTGTTGAAGATTTAAGTTACATACTGGAGTTAGGCATGTGGAACACCAAACAGGAAAGTACTGTGTCTGAAATACCTAAAAACAAACAAACAAAAACAAAAAAAAAAAAAAGGAAAAGAAACGAAACGAAACGAAAATCAACTATGAATATGCACAAGGGACACACCAATGGAATGTCAGATAATTTTCGTCAGTTTTCATTTGGAGCCCTTTTATTGTGTAGACCATATTTGCATAAGTACACAGAGCACCGATGCTGTTAATGATATAGCAAAGGCTCATGCTGAATATTGCCAGTAGGACAAAGAAGTCTACAGACTGGCAGGTCCAACATTATCACTTAAGTGCTGTCAGTACTAAGTCGTGGGCATCAAGGAGACTGGATATTTTTAGCACGATGTGCATGATAATTTATATGCTTGGTGGCTGTGCTGCTGATTAAGACGTAATTAAAATTCTTCTCATCCCATTGGAGTTTTTAATAGGAACTTTCTCCATCAATTGGCAGAACCTAAAGAAGATTTTATATGGGGCAAAAGTAATTACAATAAAATAATTTGCAGTAGTTTCGATAATAGAGGGAATAGTTATTAAAGTCTATGGAGAAACGATAGGTACAGAGGTGAATACTCACTGATATGAGCCCCAGAAAATTTCCTTTGAGTTTAATGTTCCTTTCATCCCCATAGAAGTAATTTATAGAAATACACTCTAATTGGACACGTGTTAGCTGCAGATCTATAATTTGCTGTGGGTTTGTTACTCTGAAGTTTGTCCCTTTAGGTCAGGTGAAGTGCCACAGTTTTTCAGGGTGTAAGGATGCCCCAGTAGTACCGCTCTGATTACAGTCCTCAGTTAATTGATTTACTCATGTTGCATGGCAAAATGTTTACTACTACTAATTCAATATCAGGTTGAGTCCCCTTCACACTGCTTCTCTTTCTCATGGAGGTTCACCTGAATTTCCTCATGAGATCTCAGTAGAGGACAACGTAGGTGCAGATGTTAGGGAAGTCAACAGCTGGAGGATTCGTCTTTCACACATGTGCAATTTCAAATGAATATCTAAGACCACAGGAAACTCTGAAACCCTGTTGTTTACCAGTAATATCAGTATACCACAGACCTATCCAAATGTTTGTATATGTAATCAGATGTACATTTATATTAAAGATGAGATGGACTTAAAGAGCACATCCTGATAAAATGATTTCTCTCTTATCTGTACTATATTTCTATTAGACTAAAGTTATGTGATTTTTTTTTACCTTTTTTCAGATGACTAGCAATTTTGATAGTTTGTAAGATAACGCAAAGGACTTTCTCTGACTAACTGAAGTAACAGAAACCTTTCTTTCCAGCTACCCTTTTTCAAAAATTGAAAGCTTATTATACAAAACACTTGTATACTACTTGATGGGAAGGACTTTGTGTATCTATCTCAACCACGTCAGTGGTCCCTGGGGGAAATAAAGATAATCTGGATAATGACAATTAGACAACTGCTAAGAGACATGGTCTTTGTCATTAAAGAGCTAAAATGTTTGTTGTTGTTTTGTCTTTTATTTTGTTTTTCCAAAAAAGAATTCTAAAACAAAAGAAACAAGAGTGTCTCAGAGTCATTTTTCTAGAATGGTCTGGGCTTGGAAGACATCTAGGCAACTGCAGAAAACATAGCTGTGTTCTGAAAAGCAGGTCTCCTTTCAAATGAGACTCCAGAAACTTCACTGCCACTAGCTTAGAAATCCCAGTACTCGTGAAAAACATTACCTTTGTGATTTTAAATATCCTTTCCCGAGGCACCATACAAACATATCCCCCATTGCTTTCACTTAAAAACACAAGCTCTTACTTTGCTCACCAGGGGAAAAATCTACCGGAAAAGAGAAATAAAGGTGAAATATTTCATGAAGTAAGTTATCTCTGCTCATAATACAGGAGTGGTTAGAGGAGCATACATTTAAAAAGTGCTCTCCTTCAAGAGAATTTGCAAGTGCTAAGAAAGATATTGAGCTAATACTAAAAGATAAAAATCTACTTCAAGAAACTTATATGATTATAGCTTCTACTCCAAAGTACTAAATATCAATAAAATGTTAAGAATTGTCCCATTTAACAGTCTCTGTCATAAGCAAAGTCTGCAACATCCAGAGTAGTCTACGCGGCATTGTTGACTGAGCTGATCACAGCTTTAGACTTTGAGCTGCCCTTGCAAATGAACAAGAAGAGCTGGGTAGCAGCTGAAGCACTGTTTAGTCATCAGACTGACCTGCACTGTATTAGGCAAACGGTGCGATCAGAAACAGAAGTGACAGCAAATAAGTTGTGAATGGCGACTTTCATGCTCATTAATTCCTTCATCCCGTGACGTTTCAGTGGTTGCTCTGTTTCTATCTTGTTATGAAAACAGACTACATTTCTCTAGTGTCTACTTTTTGACAGGACAGTTTCTGCTCCGTGTTCATTTAGGGGAATATTTTAGAAAATAGACCACAGCCTGATTGTCTTCTGGAACTGAAGGCAAACAAAGCAATCGGTTTTGGGGCCTGCCCTCTAGGGGTGTGGCTCAGGGACTGGGAAACAGTGTGAGCAGCTAGTGGGGTTTTTTTTTTTTTTTTTTTTTTTTTTTTTTTTTTTTTTTTTTTACAAATTCTGGCTTCCAGAACATAAAATGATGTCTTGTATTAACTGTCTGCAAAGCTGAAATATAGTTTTAAATGAAAACAAACATTTGGCATTTTTATTCAGTTTTACCTATTGTGTTTGATTGTATTTATCTAGAAGATAATTTCCCTGGGGGTGGGTAAAGAGAATACTAAATTAAAGAAATATTTTAGCATTATTAATCAATTCAGATTCTCTTGATTGAAATTAAATAGCAACAAAACAAATACTGGACTGTGAGAACTCAGACGTCAAGGCAAAATAAACTGTTTGGCATTTTGTTTGTCTATAATTTTGCCAATATTCATCAAAAGATTTATGTTGCTTTCAGTATGAGCTTAGAAATGTGGAGATGCCAGATTTAATAGTTAAAATGTCATTAAATAACATATGTAATGTTGAATGTGGATAAAATCTAGTTTGCTATAAATATCTAATAAATTTGAACACCACCTTTTATGTCATTTGGAATATAATTTTCTGAATCATCACAAATATCCAATTTAGAGACATTTTTAGCTCAAAGCAGAAATTATGTAATTCATTTTAAATCTACAAGTTGATTCAGCACATACTTTAGTGAAGACATTTGACACATAGGAAAGGAAAAATGTAGCAACACAAACTTTAAAAGAATTTCTAAGGAGTCAAAGTGCACAGTGTTATTCTGTTACCCATGCGAGATGCCTATCTTCAAATTCTCTACCTGTACTTCCAACAGTAATGATTTCACTGGTTGGTATAGTCAGCCTGACATGCATTTAAACATTCAGAAAGGAGACAGACAATGGGTCAACTACCCCAGCCTTACAAGAGTTGAAGCTTCAGAAACACTGGTGTCTTTTCTTTGGCAAGTCTCACTGAAGTATTTTCACACAGCCAGATGATGAATGGAATCCCTCGGACGCTGTCAATTACCATGACAGTCCTTTGATGCTTGTAATTTTGTTTACTTCTGTGTGATTGGTTCAAACTGCTGGCCTTTTATTCCCAGTAATTAGCTGTTATAGACTATCACTTTTTAATGTGAGTGAAAATTTGATAATTTGGTTATACTTGCTCCCACATAAATTTAATTAATGAGCACATCCCTGCTGAGATTTTGTTATCATCCATTTAATTATCTTGCCAAGTTGTCTTCATTTCTTGGTCACTATAGTAAGGGGAGGTCTCCTGCACTGGGCATGTGAACAATAAAAACTCCAGATTTTCCTTAAAACTCGAAGTTTCCAACTGATGTAAAACATCATTGGGCTAACTTGACTCCTCTTTCCTTTAAATTATGGTTTGGTTTTAATCTAACACTTAGCTGTATTTTTATTTAAGTCAGAAATAAATTCTATTTGTTTAGCATTACACAAACACAAACTGTAAAAACCTTGTACAGCTTTTAAGTGACTTATCTTTTGGGTGTTTTATTTAGAAAATATCATTTTGTTTTTAAATTTGTACCCTCTGGTAATACCATTTAAAGGATAAAATAGAATGGCTATGGTATCCATTGCTAATAAAGAAAATTTATTTAGAAGTCGTGATTTTAATTTGATTTTTGTATCATATCAAAGAAGTCCAAATATTCCTTTGGAAAAATTGAGGTAAATTTTTGGTATAAATAGTAATTATTTGTGCATCTAATTTTAACACTTCTTAAGAAGGAAAACTTACAATTCTAGCAAACTTTCAGAAAGTGGTGGCAGGGAGATCTTGTATCCAAAAAACTATTTCACTGAAGAAGGCAGTCATTATGAGGGAACAAAAATTCAAGTCATATCTAATTTTTCTATTGACCTATTGCATCCTCTGTTGGATACATACTCTATAAACATTGTATGCTGTACAGGATGGCCCTGTCAGATGCCCATGCTAACATAGTGCACTTCATGTCCTCTAAATATGTACAAATAAGGCAGGACTTTGTTGTCTACCAAACACCAAACCAATGCTCTAGCACTCTGATTTAAATGGTAGCAATTGATGAGTTAAAGAAACTTGTAAACCTTTAATAACAAAAACTCAGCAGCTGAAGTTCAAACAGACAAATGACATTTTCAGAATTGATATAATGTGGAA